CTCCTAATTTCCTTGTCTGCCCTGTGTGTGTGTGTGTGTGTGGTGTGTTGTATGTGTGTGTGTCTTGTAGAGTTAGAATCCCCCTCCACCTTTCATGCAGAGCACCTTGAGTCTATTGGAAGGAGAATGAACTGAGAGAGCTTTGGATTCTAATCCTGAATTATTCCCACTCCCTGGCCCCCTGTTCCTTATCATGCTATAAAATAAAACAGATGAATAATCTCTCACTCCTTCCAATTTGACAAACCAGCAAATCTATACCATGCCCCTCATCCAACAAATGTATTCCTATCACACATGCCACACAAATGGCAAAGACCAACATATCTTTTCTTAAGTCCAGTCATAACTCTGCAAGGCAAAATCATCTCTCCCGAGTAACCACAAACATCTCTCTGGGCTTGTTGTTTTAGCCCTAGCAATTGCACAGATCCTGTCCCAAAATATCTCTCTTCCCAACCCAAGTGAAGTCTCACTCAGGTGGGAGGAAATATCTTAACAGTGTTTTCATATACAAATAGAATTTTTATCCCCCTCAGGCACATCTAGACATTTCTAGACATTATTATGAGAAGTACTCCCCTGGAAAAGTGGCTGTCCACACCCCAAATGAAAGGAGCCACCATTTCCAGAAATATCTCCCAATAACCATGCAAGTGAGTCCCAGGTCTTCAGACAGAAATGCTATTATTCTCTGTGGCAATAATGATATACTCACGTGAGGAGGTTAGGCACTCTTCCTCACTCTCTCTCTCTCACTCCCAAGCCCAGAACAGAACACAGCAAGGAGGTGGTCCCAAAGCCCAAAGAAGCACAGAACTGAGACATTCTCTCCTCTACTTCCAGAACAAGGGGCAGAGGAATGGGGGGGGGAGGAAGGGCACGGGGCGGGGGAGGGGGAGACAACTTGTTTCTGGAAACAAGAATTCAAATCCTGCTTCTCCTAAACCCTGAGTCATGTCCTTCAGTTCCAATAGATCACTATGGTGGGTAAACATTTCCAAATATGGAGAAGCACACTGGAAGATGTCAGAAAAATCACCCCTTCTCTCTCTCCTCTGGCACTTGAAGAATATGCCCCACTGAAGACAGAATTCCTTACAGGGAGTGAATTATTAACCCCCACAGAGGAGTCGCAACTATTCCACACCACTCTACTACAGAAAGCTCCCCCTACTATCAAGGAAGTAATTGATTTCAGAGCTTTAAAGTTCACCTTAGAAATGGGAGCATCCATAACACGATGAAACAACACCACAATATATTAAAGGGGAAAAGAGAATTTTGAGTGGTGTAACCTAAGCCAGTTGCTGAAAAATCTTGCTCAGGATAGACAGTTTCTAAAATAATTCCCCTCTACCCACAAGCCCTAACCCTCTTAGGCTCTGGGACCTCTCTGGACTTGTTGAAGTTGAGCTGTTCATCTTCAATTCCAGGCAGAGCATGGAGGGAGAGGAAGGCAGAGTGGATGCGCGGAGGAGGGAGTTGAACTACCACACTGAGGCTTCCCGGTGGTCCTCGTTCTCTGTCTTATTGGAATCTAGTTCTACTCTTCACTGTGGGTGTCAAGAACCTTTTACAGAACCGTCCCCCACTTTCTGACACTTGGCCTGCTTAGCAAGCTGTTTATCCTCACCTCAGGAAGAACTCAAGCTACCCACAACAGCCCTGGGCAAGGAGTGATGGCTGCAAATGCTCACCTCAGGTCCATTACTCATGTGGTACAAGCCAGCTCTCCTCTTGGAATTTACATAGTTCTCATCCACAGATTGAGTACCCAGCCCAAATCTACCCAACTAGGTGCCCTAAAAGCAGTTTCTACTTGCTCTATCCAAATTGTCACCTCATACTGACTTTGATGTCTTATTTTATATTTTAACAAGTATGGCACAAACAGATTTTTAGGGCATGTTTAATAAATGAAGGCAGATATGTGTGATGGTAAAAATAATTAAGGAAACAGGATCAAAGGAGCTACTACCACATACTAGAACACAGAACTCAGTACGGTGTTCTTACCACTGCCTCCCTTCCCAGGGGTCTAGAAGTTAGATCAGAAGAGAATAAGGGGATGAAGCTCATGGACTTCCTGCCAATTTCCCAACAGAAGTATTTCAGCAGAAAAAAGACAGAGAGATCCCCTGAGAAAATGGCTGCCTTGGGACAGACTGAGAATGCAAGGAGTGGGCCATGGGGAGAGATTCAAACACCAGAATGAAGGACTCACCTTGATGTTTTATTTTGCTAAGAGCATTTTAGAGGTCAGTTTCCACATCCACGAAGGGACCTTCCATTTCCTTCATATATGTGTGACTCTCTTCATCATGGTTACAGAGCACCTCTGGCCCAAGGCCTAACTGCTTATAAATCCCACCCATAACATCCCAAAAGTCAGAGATCATTATCTTCTACAGCTGCTAACTCCATCTTTCTACCACACAGTTCTTCCTTATATGGAACCAAAATCTGGCTGCCTGGCCTTCAACCTCCTGCTCTTCGTTCTGCTTCTTTGGACCATATGTCAACCAATGCCTGTCTCATTGGTTTGGAATTTTTGTAGGTGAATATGTATACAGAAACAAAGCTATCCCAGACCTCAGCCCTCCATCACCCCCGCTGTTCTTCTGATCATATCACATTGCTGACTGCTCATGCATTTGTTGCCAAATTGGAATCCATTCTTTTCATGGGTTTTCTGAGGTGTTACTGCTAAGCAACTGACTCAGCATATGTACTGCTAGCCATGTAGATTCACAAGACATAGCCTTTTAAATCCAGGAGGAGGGAATTCTTTAGCTCATTGAGAAACTAGGAAAGATTGACCTTTAAGACCTGTTTTTCACACACCTCTACTTCACTGTTCATGTAACATTCCCATGCTTTGTGGATGAATCTCAAGAGATGAGATCTCACTCCTTGGCAGGACTAGATTCCATTCCTGCCAGAAATACAACAGTCCACAGGACACTATTCCAAAGAACACTGAGAGATCTCAAAGAAAAGCAGTCTCATCAACACAATTCTCAAAATAACAACCCAGAGCAGTTGTGTCAATTACTAATCACAGGACTAGAAACTGGGGATCACTGACAACTCTAACACCCATAGGAACCTTATCTTTTTTTTCCTTTAAAAAAAGAAAGAAAAGTGCCCTGCAAAGGTAGCTTATGCCTGTAATCCTAGCTACTAAGGAGACTGAGATAAGAGGATCACAGTTCCAAGTCAGGTGAGCAATAAAGTCCATGAGACTCTTACCTCTAATTAACCAGCAAAAAGCCAGAAGTGGAGAAATGGAGGTGTGGTTCAAGTGGTAGAGTGCCAATACAGAGCAAACAAAACAAGCAATACCTTAAGTTCAAGCCCCATTACTAGCACAAAAAATAAAGGGAAAAAGGAGTGTCTTTTTCTTTCCAGGTTCTGATGCACTATTTGAATTCAAAGTCAATGTAATAAAAACAATGATCCTTACATTACATATGCGCTTTATATATTAAATGTTTTTCCAGATAGTCTCATTGAATTCAGCCTGACACACACTTTTCAGGTGACATTATTACCCAATTTGCTGAAAGGAAAACTTGGGCTCTGAGAAGTTAAGTACATATCCAAAATCACACCAATAGTAATAGATAAAAAGAATTTGGATTGACAGGCACCAATGGTTCCTAGCTACTCAGAAGACTGAGATTTGAGGATCACTGATCCAAGCCAGTCCAAGAAGGAAAGTGTCTATGAGACTCTTATCTCCAATAAACTAAAAAAAGAAAATAACTTTAAAAAAAAAAAGCTAGAAGTAAAGCAGTGGCTCAAGTGGTAGAATTCTAGCTTTGAGCATTAAAGCTCAAGGATGGTGCCCAAACCCTGAGTTCAAGCCCCAGGACTAGACTAAAAAGCAAAAACAGGGCTGGGAAGGTGGCTCAGTGGTAGAGTGCTTGCTTTGCATGCATGAGACCCTGGGTTTGATTCCTCAGCACCACATAAGCAGAAAAAGCCAGAAGTGGCGCTGTGGCTCAAGTAGTAGAGTGCTATCCTTGAGCTGAAGAGCTGAGGGACAGAGGCCAGGCCTAGAGTTCAGGCACCACAACAGAAAAATAAACAAACAAACAAACAACACATACACACACACACACACACACACACACACATACACACAAAGTGTGTCTAGGAGCTAGTCTACTTGAAATTGCAGTTCCAATTTCACTCCATACTGTTTGACCTCTGGCTGTTTGACTTTTCTAAACCTCAGTTTCTACACCTGAAAATGAGGGATTAAGATAGCAGCTCGGCCTCCCTCTCAGAGCAGTTATAAGGATCAAATGAGATAATGATAGAGAAAGCCCCCTGGAAAAGGGTAAGGCATTTTAAAAGTGTATGGGATTATTGTGTGATTACTTGCAAATGACTGTGCATTCCATTACAAACACAAAAAGCAGTGAGGTCACTCACAAGACAAAGAAACGTTAAGGCTCTGGGAATTAAAGACCAATGATTGAGGTTGGAAAGGGTTATGTCTACATGCTGCTCATTCTTGCAGTTCAAAGCCCAGGAGCAGCTGTCAGATTTTCTAACTCAAGTCACACATGTGTACCGGATGGCTCGAGACAAAATTGCCCTTTTCAGCTAAAAGCAAATGCTGGGCCAAAGGAGGTAATAGAGATGGACGTTTGGAAGAACCCCTGAGATTCTCAGTTCCGGAAACGTGACCTTCGATGTTTTCCTTGGAGTTGTTAGCAGCACAGGCTCCAGTCTTGCTGAAATAAGCCCATAGGGAAATAAACGTACAGGAAAGGAGCTATTTTCCAGAGAGTACTGAGGAAGCGCCCAAGCATGAATTAATCAAGGGCACAAGATATTTCAAGTTGCAGATACAAAAACCGATAGTAATCTCCAACCTATTAAATCTCTCAGCCCAGCTCACAGAGGCTCAGCCTGAGATTCTGGCATCAGAATTCAGGAACCCGGCAGTAAGGTAAGACAGCAGATGAGGCTTGTTTACATACCAGAAGGTTGGCCAAAGAGGTCCCAAGAACTCAGCGAGTGCAGGTACTGGTCTGGCTTCCTTCAGCCCTCTCCCAACACACGAGTGTTATCAGGATTCTCTTCAATCCCTGCAAGAGTCAAGTCATCTCTGTCATTGGTTAAGGAGCCTGATCCTCCCCAGAGATTCATTTCCAAGGCTGATAGCACAGAGTTCAACTCGGATTGTTTTCTGGTTTTCCTTTCATCATGTTTTCCTTGTGCTGAATACTTGAGAAAGGCACTAAATTAATTGATTCCATAGATGGGTGAGTACCAACTATGATGAATGTACTTGAATCTCAGTAATGCCACAGCAAAGGGGTGTGAACTACAACTTCCAAGAGTTCACAATCTTATTACAAGAAAGAGGCTGACCATAATAGAGGAAAATTGTGGTGAGGGAGTGAAAGGAATTCAGGACTAAAGGAAAGATTTTAACCTAGGCAATGAGAAGATAGTTACATCCAGGAAACTGCAAGGTAGAGTCAAGCTTAGTGAACATGGAGACCACAAGTGAGAGGTAAGCAAATGGATGGAGATAAATAGTAAGTGAAGCCCAATTGTTAAGTGACTGGGCTCTATTTCTAAAAGCAATCTTTTTTTTTTTTTGAAAACCAGAGCTCTGGTTGCACCATGGATGGAGTTAAAAACTAAGTTCTTTGGCTCATCATGGCTAAAAAACTATAATTCAATGAGTGTTTACTCTGTGCTTAGTATTATATGAGGAGGTTATAGTATATGTGTGCATACATACACACATAATCTCATTTAATCCCAGTAATAACCCTATGAGGTAGGCAGTCTCATTTCCATGTTAAATGATGATATGAAAACATAAAGAAAATATTAACATATAAGTCCTAGTGATAGTAAATAGTCCAGGATTAACTAAAACCCAAACGCCCTACACCAACCACATACTGTCTTACTTAAATCTTTCCCATTGCCCAGATGCTACCCCTTCTCATTTCTCTGAGATTAAATCCTCTATACATAACTCACATGCAACAGAATCACATGTGGCATTACTATTTTTTAAAAAATTGTTTTTCATTTCTGTCTTCCCACCAAGGTGCTCTCAAGCACCTTTGCCCTCAGCACTGTGTATACAGTAGACACTCAATAAGTACATGTATGTAGGAAGACTCTCTTTGTAGTTGGGCCAAGAAATAACACAAAACTCGCTATCATTTCACTCTTTTCTGTACAAGAATTAAAGCACTATATGCAAAGTTGCCAGGGTCAAAAGGGAGGCCACAGCTGGGTTGAGAGATGCAGATCAAGGACCCTGTGCATGAGGCAACCTGAGAGTTATGCAGTTACTCAGCGTCTCCATGACTCGGAAGGCCATGACATGGAAGGCCTCAGAGGAAGGTAAGCAGATCACACATTTCCTTTAAAAAGTAAAGAAGGCAGTCCCATCAAAATGATGATTTGGGCCCAAGGAAGTTCATCCAACAAGCTGTCAGAATTAAAGGGGATCCAGACTAATAGCTTCAGTCCACTAACATCTCACCACTTTGTGGCTAAGTGTTAAGCCAGTTTGTTTTACAGTCTTCATAAAAAGAGGTGTTGGGCTATGGCAGTGATTTTCAAACTCTTTTTGCAGCAATATTTTTCTCTAAAGTGACTGCTTAGAGGTGCTTTGCTGATAAAGTAGGTATAAGCAGAGCTGCTCAGCAGGCTTGAGAGTTCCTTCCTGTTCCCTGCTCTACTTTTTCATTTCTTTTGGTACCCTAACCCCAAGGTCACCCTGGGAGGTTTTAACAGTCAAAGGGAGGGCAGCTTAAAAGCCAAACAGCTCTTCAAAGTACCTTTCAGCTCTGATTCCAATAATTCTCAAGGTCTGGGACAGACCTCCTTAACTCGCAGCCCTGCAACACTAGTAAGACAGGCAATCCATGTTCCCCATATTGTAGCAAAAGAGAAAGCGATCAGAATTAGAAAGTTTGGACTATAATCTATTTATGGTCCATGTACTCTCAAATAAGATATTTAAATCTCGCTAAACCTGTTTTCTCATCCAGAAAATGGGAAGTATTATTTATCTCCCTTAAAAGGCTTTTATGAGAATTAACTGGCTTAACAAATCAGCACAATACCACAATAAATGCTGTATTATGATCACTCTGACCGTAAGTTGGACTTGGTCCACACATGGAGAGGCAGGTAGCTATGTGCAGAGAAAGATGTTGCTCAGCGACTCACTGGGACCCATTTCTCTCTCTTTCTCTAATGTGCATGTCCAGCCTGAACAAACAGTTGGACAACAATAAAGAAACACACTTTGTTTCCCAAATTCTCTACATCACATCTTTGAAAAATCCTAAGGTGTGTCTCTAGACTCTTCGGAACTCAGGGCTATCTCTGAATCCATCAACCAGGATGGCTGAGGGTGGAGAAAAATAGTCTTAAAGAAAACCACTGCTCCCAAGTCTGGAGATCCATACTGCCTATACCTGCATCCAACCAGCTGAGTGATCTGAGCTTCAATTACCTTGTTAGTAATTGAAGCAAAAACCCAAACCTACCACAACAAGACACTATATAGAACAAAGTAGTTAATGAGCACATTCTCTTTTCACGATGCAATGTATATTTAACCCCTTAGGAGTATTCTGTGTCTGGTGTGTGATCAATAGTATCTTCACTAAACAACCCTTCTACTAAATCTGGTCTCACCAATTACCACTCCATAAGCATCCACAGCATAATTAAGAAGTATTTCTATTTTTATATTTCTATTTTGACACAGCTTCACACACTTCACCTTTTTAAATGTTTATCAGATATAACCATAACACCCATTTCACAAATGTTATAGTTGAATATCTGAACAAGAAGCTACATGCGAGCCCTTGGTTCCAAGGCCTCTCTCCCCCACAGCAGAGTGCAAGTAAAGCACTACTAGAAAAGATGCCTTGGGGGCCCAAGGACAGGTCATCATATGACACTGTTCAAATCACCTTCTCCTAACCACAGTTTCTTCATCTACAAAATGAGAATTCTCAAACCACATATACTTCTGCACATTCCTTTCTCTCCCCAGGGAAGATCCCAGAAATGAGAACTAGAGAAACTAACAAGGCCATGTCTCACATGCTGTATTTGAATACGCTTGGTCAGTGCCATCCCTGAGCTTCCCCTCCCAACCTCCAAAGCCATCCAAAAAGAAAGAAGAAGGACTGACCAGCATATGGAAAGGTCACCACAACCCCACAGTAGCACAAGGAACAATGAGCGGCCGCCATCACCACACAGACCAGCAAGCCCCTCCCCCAAAACAACTGCAGTCATGGTCACAGCGCATGAACCTTGTCAGCAAATTGCTGGTTTGATTGGCAATTAATAATAAGCTCAAGATGCAAGAGCATTAACTCAAACAACACAGGATGCTCCCTGCTTATCTCCTGGCTTCTAGGTTTCAAAAGGCAGACTACTGGAAGAATCTATCTTTCCCCCAAGCTTCTCAGGACAATTGTGTCTTTCTTTAGTGTAACATTAGTGCTTCAGCCTGACCACCATGTTTTCACTTTGATGACAGGCTAACTCCTGCCCCTTGTTGTATTCTCCTAAAGTTGAAATGGTGACTGCCAGCCTCTCCCAAGATCCTAAATCTGGCAAAAAAAAATCCAAGTATCTGCTTAGTCCAGCTTTCCTGTGAACCACAACCTGTCTGGGGCAATTATCTCTCAGAAACCATTAGTGATGTCTGCATAGTACAGGACAAGATAAGGGTAGGTTGATGTGCTAGAGGATTCTGCTCCAGTCTCTTAAGGGGCTTCCCAATGGTGATAGCATTAAGTCTCATGGCTTTATTGAATAGCTCAAGCTTCCCCACAACCTATGTGCAACCTTCAATTGCCAGTATAACCTCTCTTGCAATGCCACACATTTTTGCTTTTTTCAGCCTGAACTTCCAGCTCATGTTACCCACTTTGACCTGAAACCTTTCTAGTCTTCAAACCCAAATATCCAAACCCTACACTTATATCAAGTCCTACTGGTAGTTCTCAAAGAGACTGCCCCTTGGAGGAAGACAGTTACTTATCTGCAGTGTTTCTTGTATTATAGGATATCTAGCACCCTAGCCATGACCTCTAAATGCTTGACCTCCACTCACTAATACAAAATAAATACTCTGCCACATTTTCAAATGCCTTAAAGAGATGGTACTGCCTCCAATGAGAATTAATGGACTGTGGTCACCTTGTATAAAACTCTCTCATTCTTAGCATAGTATGAATAATCTCTCTTTCCTGGATCTGCTTGGCCTGCTATATATGATAGTGACTATTATCATTTTATTATTTTTACTATATACTTGTTCCCCATCCCAACAGACACTCAATGGAAGAATCCATGACTTAGCTCTCCCCACAATACCAAATCAAGCTCATAGTGAATGTTTAATAAAAAAAAAATTAGAACAAATTATATAAAGTGTAGGGCACGGTGGTGCATTCCTATAATCCATAATGTTCCTACTCTAGAGGTAGGGTAATGGTTTGAGGAAAGTTGGAGCAAAGTTAGCAGAAGACCCAGTCTGAAAAACAAACTGAAGGGGAAAAAAAAGTAAGAACAATCATCATATGTCATAACTCATAGGAGGAAATCAAACCAAACTGAAAAATTACAAATCAAACGCTCTTATCAAAACCAAGAACTCAGTTTAGAAGCTCAAAGTAAGTTTAACAGTCTACTCTTTCAGGATCTTAAATATATTAATTTGAATACAGCTAAGTAGATTATGATTAATTACGAATGCAAAGTATGTCAGGATAAAATTCCTGGGACTTGCAAAGTGGGAATTGTGAATTGTTGGGATACACATATTCTCTCAACAGGTTCAATCAGAATCTACTTTCGCCCTCTAGAGTGCCATCTACCATTTAGAGGCTCTGCAGAATCCGAAGACTAGAACTAAAGAATGCTCACACTCCCTAGAAAGCTGGTAAATGAGGCCCCACCAGTGAGGTGTACTTGTGTGAAATCTCAAGGCAGAAGTGAAGCTCAATCTTCCTGCTGCTCTTCCTACTAGCAAACTATGCCAGAAAATGGGAAGAGTCAAAAAGCCACCCCACTCAGC